ACACTCCAAAGAGAAAGGAAAAATTGAAATCGCATCATATGACCCCTTTAATTGAAATATTTAAACTGAAATAAAATTAAATATAAAAAAGATATAAAAAATTAAATTAAATTAAAAAAACCTAAGCTAAACAAAATTACTAAAAATGAAAACATTTCAAATGAAAACTGAAGACATATTAACCAAAACTATAATAGTATAGAAATAATACTAAAAATAGCATTGTTTTAACTTGACTTTTTAAAATAACTCAAACTAAAATGAATACAAACTATATAGACATTTAAAAAAAAGAACTAATAAAAATTAGGAAAATGTGGAAAATACAAAAATGATGATGCTCACTTAACTTAATCTTTAAAAAAAAAATCATAGACAACTCTGTTAAATGTAATCTTTATCAAACCTCAAAATGAACATCCTTTTTTAAAACTTCTTATTTTAGTTTATAATATTTTATTAATTCATTTAGACAAAATAATATAGAATTTTAACACATCCCTGTGAAAAAACATGGTATACTTTAGTAATGCACTTAGGTATACTGTAAAAAAAAACATACACAAACAAAACCAAATTAAACCCTGCGCGAAAAAACGATATAAATACTGTTCAGTTTCTTGCACAGATCGATTGTTTCGTGTCTTTACACATCAATGTATCGTCACGAGCCGCAGGGTTTAATTTGGTTTTGTTTGTGTATGTTTTTTGACTCTCAAAGCCGTGATTCCCATTCACTTCCATTATATGACTGACAGACTGCAACTGTTTGAGTTAAAAATCTTCGTTTGTGTTCTACTGAAGAAACAAAGTCACCTACACCTTGGATGCCCTGGGGGTAAGCAGATAAACATCAAATTTTCATTTTTGGGTGAACTATCCCTTTAAGTTTTAAAACCAGTTTAACAACTCATTGTATAGGTGTGCTTTAATATATATTGCGAACTTTGTCTCTCAGAGTGACAGTTACTGTCATATTGACGCCATGGACATGGACAAGGTCAGAGTGTGTGTTGAAGATACACAAGTGTGGATGACAAACAAAGGATTCTCAGGATAAATGCACACCTGATCAGGAACCTGCCATACACAGAACTCAGAATAAGGACAAATTACAGGTAAGGAAATACTAAAAGCTTCACAAAAGCATTTCACAGGGGGAGACACATCTAAAAATAACCTTATGTGTAATCAGCATTGATTTCTATGTCTGAGCAGCCACGGGGGTGGTGTTAGCTGTCTTTCTATGTCATTACTCAACTATGAAAAGCTTTTAAAAATCTTTTTTTACTGCGAGGCATTTCTCTCTTTAGTAATTCAGTTCTAAATATATTTAAGCATCTGTAAAATTAATTATCGATTGATTGCCATTTAATTTACAGATTTTAATTTATATTTAAATAAAAATCTTTTAACATCACAATGTTTTTTTTTTTAACCACAAACCAGGATTTTTAAAGTAATTCATTTAGTAAGCGTGTTATTAAACACCATTTATAATGAATTCAGTTATATTTGCATTTGTTTGCAATAGTATTACATATATTTTTTCTACAATTCTCCAGGCACTCAACAACATTTGTGAGGAGATAGTTTCCAAACCCAAGCCCAGAGTTGACTCTCCCATAGATGAAAACATTCAACCAGAGCAGCCACACAACAAAAAAAAGCCCAGA